CAGGCTAGGAATTGTACATCAAAGGTGGGAAATGAGGAACTTGATCAGATAATGAGAGTGATCAGATATTAAGAATGGGGGATTCTCTTCAAACTGACTTTGCAGGATTCTTGCTAAAACTGGGCTATGCAAGCCCAGCAAGGACAGGGGCCAAGACTGAAGCCTAGTCCAAAAGAGGGCTCAAGCTTTGCTCAGCGGCAATATGAGGTTTATCAAAGGCGCAATTATTGCTAATTGAAAACTTTTCCTAATACCCCACCATGACGATTTGAAATACAGTTGGAAAAAAACACACAAAAAACTAAACAAAAAAAATAAAAGAGGGCTCAAAGAAACCTGACTAAGGTTTGATCCAGAAGAGAGTCTTTTGCCCATACAGGACAGCATGTGAGGCAGAGAGGAGCATGAAGGAGGACTTAGAGGGAATCTGGAGGGGCCAACTGATGAATTATCTTTCAGTAGATCAATGAACTACTGACTCCCTTATGAAGGGGTAAAGTGAAATTTGATCAAAATCTGTTTTTTTGAAAGTTATAATGGAAAGTAACAGATCATAAAGATATGTGTGTGTGAGTAAAATAGCCCTCAGAGTTGTACATGAACATGGGGACTCATGAATTATGATGCAGTATACTTTGAATTTCTGAGTAAATCTAGAAGATGAGCCTCAAATAAAAGTTCATCCTGCACATGATATTTCTCCAGTTCCTTTAGCTTGAAATATCCAATACACCAAGTTGCCATATTTGGGGGGAGTGTCTCAAACCCCATCATTCTATAACACCCAAAGTTTCCAAATACACCATATATGTTCACATGTCTTTGCTTTTGCTTGTAATGTTAGTATTTTCTCAATGTAACAAAATCTGAAGCAGCAATTATAATAGGTTTAAGTTATTACTTCTTTACCAAATCTTTTTTCATCTTGCCTCACATTCTTGGCAGAGAAATAAGGAAGTCCTTTTCTTGAATTATCCTAATTTATTATACATATCTCTTGGATAGCACTTCTGGTATAGGTTAGTTGTTAATGTATCATAGGAAGTAAATTGTAAGATCTTTGGGGTGAGAGATCCTCCCTGATAAGATGGAGTTGCACTTATTAGCTGTGTCCTTGACTGGTGGTCCTACTATTGAAAGGAATTTTAGGGGTATTTTAAAATAGGCAGGTTTAGGGAGTTTTAGGAATTAGGGGGTCCTAATGACTAGATGAGGACTGCCTAGATGAGGGCTTGGGGTTGCCAAAACGCATACATTCACAGAGAAATAAAAGAGGTGCCACAGGATAAGGGGAGAGGAAGACATCCATTCACAGAAGATAGGGAAAAGCCACAGTATGGAGAGAAAGAGGAAACAAACTTTCACAGAGGATAGAGATATGCTGACAAATGAAAGAAAGAGGAAAAAGATTTTCATAGGAGATAGAGAATCCTACCACTGAAGGGGAAGAGAAAAAGGGGAGCACCACGTGGGTTTTGAGCTTTGAAGCTATTATTCTACCAATTGGAAAGCAATATGAAGAAACAAAGAACGGCAGCTTTTATAAACCTTAGAAAAAAGGAGCTTAGAGGGTTACCCCCTTTGGGACCCCCTCCCTACATGGGAGTCTGTACTTGTTTCCAATAAATTTCCACCCTTTTCATCTACCACCTTTGTTCTTTGAATCTGTCTGGACAAGAACCCAGGAAAGAAACCACCCTTGCATCCTGCTCAGGAAAATCCACCTGACTCAGTATGTTTCCTTAAGACTCCAGATATAATTTCTTTTATTTTTTATTTTTATTAAGATTGTAGAATAACACAGAATAATGTGAGTGATTAACAAGAAGAAAATAGGTTCCTCAAAAAATTGGAAATGGAACTCCCATTTGACCCTGTGATCCCACTTCTAGGAATATATCCCAAGAAACCAGAAACACCAATCAGAAAGGATATATGCACCCAGATGTTCATAGCAGCACAATTCACCATAGCTAAGATCTGGAAACAGCCTAAGTGCCCATCAGTAGATGAATGGATTAGAAAACTGTGGTACATCTACACGATGGAATACTATGCTGCTGTTAAAAAGAAGGAACTCTTACCATTTGCAACAGCATGGATGGAACTGGAGAGCATTATGCTAAGTGAAACAAGCCAGGCAATGAAGGAAAAATACCACATGATCTCACTCTTTCATGGATAATTAAGACCATTACAAACTTTTGAACAATAATAAATACAGTGGCAGAGCTGCCTCAAACTGATTGTCGGACTGCAGTGGGAAGGCCAGGGAGGGTTGGGGGACAGGAGGGAGGGGAGTAAGAGATCAACCGAAGGACTTGTATGCATCCATATAACCATAACTAATGGACATAAGACACTGGGGGGTAAGGGAGGGCAGGGGCTTGTCAAGGGCGGGGGGGAAAAAAGGACACTTATGTAATACCCTTTGTAATAATTTTAGCGAAAAAAAAATAAATAAAAAAATAAAAATGGTGTTTTCATTAAAAAAAAAACAAGAAGAAAATAAATTATATCAGTCATTATTCAGAATGTTAGAATAAATTAAACTTTAATAGATGCTTTAGCATATGAATATTACTAACCACTATATAGGGTTATAGATTGTATGCTTCACCTCACTAAGTAAATTATGTATATGTATACATACTACATATAAGTATTTAAATATTCTGATATGAAAATGAATCATGGTTTTCAGCAGACACATTACAAATGAATTCATATCTCAATTAAATTGAGTTGTAAACCACACAGTTGATTATCCCAAAGAGCTCATTTTAAATGCATATGGCTCTTAATAGCTCCAATGGGAAGGCAATCCTTCAGTACTGATGAATGTTATAACTTTGAATTGAAACAAAGGTACCTAAAGTACTAAGGTTACATAAAATGCTGTCAAAATAGTTATGACTATTAATTTATAATTTGAATGTTTTAGTCAAAACAATTTTCTAAAATTAGATTGGGAGATGTAATAGATGCAAATGAGCTTCTCTCTACACAAAGACATTTGTTTTTATGGTATATTTTTAATAATTTGTCTTTCTGTAATTATAGCTAATTTTAGAAGCTATTGTTTTATCATCAAATGCTTCCGTTGCCCTAGATGACATCAGTATATCCCAGGGATGTGAAATTTCATATATGTCACTGCCAGGTACCAGCATAGTAAACAAAGGTAAGTTTTTCTCATGGTCATTGCAATTTTAAACTTTGAAATAATTAGTTCTTCTTGATATCAAAATATAAAATACATTAGAGTCCTTCAATAATATAACTCACTAATACCTAATGCCAGATGTGGGTTAAATCACATGTCCTTGAAAACTAAAATATATATTTTTAAATTTAATTTTATTTTTAAAAATGTTTTTATTGATTTAGAGAGAGAGAGAGACATCAACCAGTTGCCTCTTGAATACACCCCTCCGGGGGATTGAGCCCACAACCTGGTATGTGCCCTGATCAGGAATCGAACCAGCGATGTGCAGTGCACAGGACAATGCTCAACTAACTGAACCACAGGCTAGGGCTATTTATTTATTTATTTAAATTAAATTTATTGGGGGTGACATTGATTAATAGCATTATATAAGTTTCAAGTATGTAGTTCTACAATATACCAACTGCATATTGCACTGCATGCTCACCATCTTCCATCACCAAATATTTAACCCACTTTACCCTTTTCCATCTCTTCCTACCTCCCTGCCCTGTAGTAATCACCATAGTGTTGTCTGTGTTTATAAGTTTTTTTGTTTGTTTTATTCATTTGTTGCTTTCTGTTTTATATCACACATATGAGTGAAATCATATGGTTTCTTGTCCTTCTACGTCTGATTTATTTTGCTCAGTATAATGCTCTCAAGATCCATCCATATTGTCACAATTGGCAGTATTTCATCCTTTCTTATGGCTGAGTAGTATTCCATTGTAAATATTTATCACATCTTCTTTAACCCATCATCCATTGATTGACACTTGGGTTATTTATATGTGTTGGCTACTGTGAATGATGCTGCAGTGAACATAGGCATCCATGCAGCTTTAGGAATAAATATTTTCCAGATTTTCAGGTGATTACCCAGCAGTGGGAATGCTGAGTCCTATGGTAGTTCTAGTATTCATTTTTTGAACAACCTCCATACTGTTATCCAAAATGGCTGTACCAGTTTACATTCTCACCAGCAGTACATGAGTTTTCCTTTTTCTCCACATCATTTCCAACAGTTGTTATATCTTGTCTTATTGATAATAGCCCTTCTAACACGTGTGAGGAATATTTCATTGTAGTTTTGATTTGCATTTGCTTTATAGCTAGTGAGGATGAGCATCTTTTCATATATCTGTTGACCATTTGTATGTTTTCTTCAGAAAAGTGTCTGTTTCAGATTCTCTGTCCATTTTTTAATTGGATTGTTTGGGATTTTTTTATTGTTGTTGTTGAGTTGTGTTAGTTCTTTATATATTTTAGATATTAGCCCCTCATTGGAGGTATTGTTTGCCAATATCTTCTCCCATTTAGTTGGTTGCCTTTTTGTTTTGTTGATAATTTCTTTTGATGTGCAGAAGACTTTAATTTTATATAAAATATATACTTTTTAAAAAGTAAAACTATGGTATGTCACAATCTATACTTCAGTCTATCTTCCAATGATATTCTAAACTTTAAGCTAAAATTGTCACATATAGGTATTTTAATTTTAAAAATTATGAAAGAACTTTAATTATTTGCATGTTTTAAAGCACTTCTATAAAAATAATTTCTATTTTAATTTTGTTTGGCAATTAAATTTAACATATAATAAAATTCATTTTTCATAATCACCTAGGACAGTGGTCGGCAAACTGTGGCCCTTGAGTGTAGCTCTTCCACAAAATACCATGTGTGGGCACACACGTACAGTGTGATTGAAACTTCGTGGCCACACTCAAGGGGCCAAAGAGCTGCATGTGGCTCGTGAGCTGCAATTGGCCAACCACTGACCTAGGATTTAAAACAAAATTATTGTGTTTGGAAAAGTGACTTAAGGCTAGCCAAAAATTTAAATCTTGATCCTAATTCTCTATTTAAATTCAAAACATAATATCTCTCTATATAAAAAGCTAATATGCTAAGTGTCTGTCTGGGTAATGATGTCATGTAGCAATGCCCAGCTTCCTCTCCCTAGTGAAGACTGATCTCCTTGCAGTTTCTTCAGTTTAGGAACACGACTTGCTTTACAGCCAGGTGCAAACATTTCACACTTTAACCAAATGTCTGTGAAACGTTTTCCCATGCCTCATCTCATTTGATCCTCACAGAAGTCCTGGAGTAGGTAGATAGGAGACTCGGTGGAATCCTATTTTCTTTTCATTAGCTGGAAAATGGAGATTTAGAAAGCTTAGAAACTTGACCTGATGGAAAAGAAGTAAGAAATGGTGGACCTTAAAAATGACTTCAGGTTTTCTCACTGCGCAGAATATAGTCAAACACTGCTGCAGTTAAATATTTTACTCTTTGTTCTCCCTGCATGATCTATAATAATTATCTGCTTTGTGTTGATATTTACTGCTGTGCTGCTGACAATTACCTGAGAGAGAAGTTGGGGTGCTTCACTGGGCTGGAAACAGTTTAGCTAAATCAAAAAGCAGGTCTCATTAAGCGAGTTTATTTTATATATATAAAAGGCTAAGTTGACTCGCTCATGCACGATATATATAAAGCTCTTGCTGGTGCCAATTGCACGGGGGTATTTCCATCTATCATTGTTGATCGTGAATTTGGTTGACACTTCTATTATAAAGAAAGGGTGAATAGCGGTATTAAAATATTTCTTCTAATTAATTTCCTTTCAATGTTCATGAATTCGTGCACCGGGCCACTAGTTTTTACATAATAGATGGAGTTTGGCTAACTCTTTGACTAAATACTTTATAGAGAGTTTAAATTAAGGAAAAATGATCATAAAATGGATTTTAAATAGTCAAATAGGCATTTCTGAAAGTCAAGTAGGCATTTTTGAAAGTCTAACCATTATTTATTTATTTATATTATTTATTTATTTTAAATATTTTTTTGTTGATTTCAGAGAGGAAGGGAGAGGGAGAAAGAGAGATAGAAACATCAATGATGAGAGAGATTCATTGATTGGCTGCCTCCTGCACACCCGCTACTGGGGATCAAGCCCGCAAACTGGGCATGTGCCCTTGACCAGAATCAAACCCAGGACCCTCCAGTCCACAGGCTGATGCTTTATCCACTGAGCCAAACCAGCTAGGGCAGAAAGTCTAACCATTATTTAAGTCCTGCAAGTACATTGAAACACATATATTGTACCTGCAGTTACTTTGTTATTCTAACACTGATTGATGTTTCCCTCTGGCCATTCGTACTCATACTCCTGGGTCAATTAATAAATGGGAAGTATGAAAAATGTTGCCTGAAAACTGCCATACTTCATTTTTCTTTATCTATATACATGAAAAATATTTGCATGTTGAAATCAAACACATCATATACTCTGAAGTTATATTTCCTTACACAACATAGTGAGAAACTTGCATTCTTATAGGCGGAAAATGTACTAAACAAGGATGACATAGGAGAAACAATTCTGAATTGAGAACTGGATTAAAGAACTTTTAGTTGAAAGATCTCTGTTAAAGACATCTTTCATTGGAGAGATTGTATAATTCTGTGTGCTAACTTTATATTGTGTTAACATGTAATTAGTCAGAATGTATGTCCTGGGCTTATAATAAACCTTTCTAAACTCTGTGGAGTAGTAGAAAGGCATTAAACAAAATGTAATTGGAGCAAAGGTGTGGCTAAACATTTTAAATTATCACTAAAATTAACCTTATCAGAAATCTCAGAGGATTTTATTTCAATTACAGATAATTCTTTTTGTAAATAAACTCAAAACTCATATGTGTCTCAATTTGAATATCAGCCCAGTTTGTTAAAGCATAATTCTAATTAGACCAAAATTATATAAATTATTCCTGAAAGGCGAATGGTTTTACACAAAGAAAAAACAAACAAATACTGTTTTTGCAAAATTTTTCAATACTCAATTATAGGAGCCCCTTATGGGACAGGACTGGAAGGGGAGTTAAAAATGATGTCAAACATGGACAACAGGGGGATGAGAGCATGAGTGTGTGGTGGGGAGGTTGGGGGTTAATGGGGGGATGAGGACACATTTGTACTACCTTAACCAATAAAGAAATTTAAAAAAATGATGCCAAGTTCCAATTGTAGTGCATTATGTTATACTAGAGGCCCAGTGCATGGATTTGTGCACTGGTGGAGGGCATGGCCTGCAGGGATCGGCCCACTGTGGGAGCACTGCTCATTTTGGTCAGCTGAATGGCTGTGGACCTGCCCTCTGAGCAGCTGCTCCTGCTTTGGGAGCACTGCTCATCGTGGTCAGCGGAGCGGCACTCCCACTGTGGGACAGCTCCTGCATTGAGCATCTTCCCCCTGGTGGTCAGTGCGCATCATAGTGACTGGTTGACCGGTCGTTCTGGTTGTTCTGCCATTCAGTCGCTGGACTTTTATATATATAGATTTGTGGGGCAAAATGGCCAGAGATTTACCTTGACCCTGTATTTCATTTTTTGTTTTGTTAATCCTCACATGAGGATATTTTGCCATTGATTTTTAGAGAGATTGGAAGGAAGGAAGGGGAGAGAAAAATAAAAAAGAGAGAGAGAGAAATTGAGCCTTGAGCTTGCACTTAGTTTGAGTCTGCAGCCCAGGTATTGCCCTTAATCAGGAGTCAAGCTCATGACCCTTTGGTGTGCAGGCTGATGCTCTAACCACTGAGCATATGAGTCAGGGCTCAACACAGTATTTTAATTAAAGCCTTTGAAAGTTTCAGTTGGCATTGCTAATGGCTATAACCCTTTGGGGAAACTCTTAGAATTAGCCTTATGTTTATATTTGAAGCACCAGACACATGATGGGAATAGCAAATTATACTTTGATTTGGCTTTATGCCAGCTTCTTTATCATACGCATATTTAAAAACTAGTGGTCATGAAACAATTATGTATTCTGTTTATGTGTTGAAGGAGAAGAGGATGTTTTACCTTTTCATCTCTTAATTTTAAAGGTGGATTTGTGCCACGTGAGGATGCCGGCTATATTTCATCCAGCAAGGTCTGTGATTTTACATCTGTCAGCCCAAA